TTATCGCATTTACGCGAAAAACTATGGGCTCATTGATTATTGAATGGATTTAAACGTTGTGATGTTGTCCCTTTTAACTGTTTATTTTCTCGTTATAGAAAAAAAAGGTTTATGTTTTACCTACTTAGTGAATTATATATTACACACGGATGTATATTTTATTCGTTGGCAGAATAATTAAATTTTTGAATAGAACGCTCTTTTAGGTCTGTCTGTTTTAGGTCTGTCTACGCTCACTTCATCTTATATCTTTGTGAAATTTTTATCCGGATGAAATTTTCAGATATTACTGAAAACTACCCATCTTCTTGAATGTTCACTCCTCTCGCAGGGCAGCAACAGGCCCTTTAATACACCATCTTCAAGTCCACTTGCGGCCTCGGGTGGGAATATCTGTTCCACTCCCTGCCTGTGCATGTCGAACGGCCTCTCTCCCGCAACGTCCACTTTAATTCGGCGCCCGGCGTAATATACTCCGACCTCTTTAAACATTCAATGCGTGGCCTTGTCGCATCTGGCGATACGGGACAAATTCATCGCCCTCCCACAGCGCCGGCCGCGAGGCGCCCGAAGGCTGCCGGCGCGAGCCCGCGTGTCCACTGCGCGCGCTCTTGCGTCCAGAGGAGCAAACAAAGGTGCATTATGCAGTTTTGTTGTTTTGCGACTAATGAAAAGTAAAAAATATTTAAAAACAATACCTTAGAATTAGATATGTTTCAGTTTTCGTTCATACCTTTCGCTGGTTACGAACAGTAAAAGTTCTAAAAATGAAGCAGTCTTCTTTAGTTAAATGTACTGTTGTGATATAGTTAAGTAGAACAAAAGATCGATTTTCTCATTAAGAACAATTTACAGGGTGAGTTGGATATAATCATGACTGCAAGCGGGAATAAAATTTGATCATGAGAATTTGTGCAATGGGAAAAAAAATAGTTAGACGTCTTACATAGATGTATGGATCCGATTGGATACGCTTTTACAGCAAATTCAGAATCTCATCTGTGATGTTTGTGTAAAACATACAGTTGTAAAATTTATTACTAGTACATAACGATCATCTTATCGAGTATTCATACATACAACTGTTCATATATTCTCATACTCTTCCTTCCTCTTAAAAAGACGTTAAAAATTTAATTGCAAAATTAAGAAAGCGATTAACATATTGCACATTGAATAATTGTTAATTTATTTTACAATACAAACAGAAGAGAAAGAAAAATAAAATGCAAAAACAAGTTTTGTTTAATTATTTTTCATTATAAAGAAAGGAGAAAACATGATAAAATTACATGATACAACAGTGAAAGGGTAACAAGTACGAGTTGTAAGTTGATAAAATTGTGTAATGGCCGAAAACTTGAAAAGGAAGAATCAAGTAACCGTCTGAAAGTCTGATATCTAATACGAACATTTGTTTATCTGGTCAACAACCTGGCGAAAAAAATCTTCAATGTGTGCAACTGCACTCTTATTATGCGCAAATACTGAACGGACTTCCTAATGCATACAATATATTAACTATATGAAGGGTCCAGATCAAAACTTTCTGATTAATTAAGAAAAAAAGGCGTATAAAGACAGAAGCAAAATAATTGATCTTAGAACAATAAAACTAAAAATGACTGAAGCGATTTGTTCTAGGTGTACAACGTTTTGAAGAGGAATGACGATGTAGATTACTTGGTGGAACTCTTCATTAACAGCTCAGATTGCAGATAGAGGTGAATTGTAAAAAAACTGTGAAAAGAAAGAATCGCTTTAATTTCTCCGAAAAAAATTGCGATTAATTCGTGAAATACTCAATGCTTTCATTTCTTTAAGAAATGTAGACGGTTCTCAAGTCGACTGGACTTTTCTATGCTCTAGATCAGGTGTCCAACTTGCAAGGTCTCAAGGGCCACAACTATCATCTAAAATATAGTTCTGGGCCATATTTTCATTACTCGCGCGATCTACAACTGACTTTCGCGTACGATTTCAGCACTTTGCTCGGCCGTTCTAAAACAAAGGAGGGGGATGGAACCATGCGCGGTATCAGACCGAACCATGAATACATATCACGGCGATAAACATTGGGATGATTTAGAATTTCTGAATTTACTAAATAAAATCTTCAATCTAAACTTAACCTATGTTTGCATTAAACATGTGTTGACCCCCACAAAGCGCATGCGCTAGGCGCACGACATGAATGCGAGGGACTTTTCTTTGGCCTAATAACATTTCGGGGGCCTCAATAATTAGCACCGCGTGCTGCATACGGCTCTCAGGCCGCCCGTTGGACAATCCTGTTCTACATAGTGAGATTCTTTTATACACAGAGAATAAATTGATTTCTGATTCTATGAATCAGATACAATACACTGACGCTACATGCATATCTTACATAAAGTGTATGTTTTTGGAGGCTGAAATTTTAATTCTAGTAATTCAATGATATGAAAAGTGAAATATTGAAGAAAAAACTTCCATAGGTTAGAATTTTTACGTTAAGAGATAGATTTACATAAATATGATCATACGGCAGCCGAAGGAATAAAGCTCTACTTTTGAATGATGCAGTATATCGGATGGTTGAAATTTAATGAAATGTGTTTAATTCGTTTTTACTCAGAAAAATTAATTAAATATCGTATGTATGAATAGGAAATAACTCGTTGTTACGCCTATCTTCCGCATCAGTATACGCACCATTCACGGTCTTAGTGTAACTTGTCGTTGTTACCGGTATTCACAGACAATGTAATGCATTTATATCATGAATAATGTGCAATTTTACCATTATTGTAGAATTTAATTTTCACTCGAATTTCAAAAAGAAGAATCAGATTACAAATCGTCACTTGTCATACAGCGGTGGCCATATAGTTTCAAATATAATTTCATCGTCGCCAAACGCGTAGGCCGGGAAATTCAGTGTATCTGCTTTTGTAATTCCTATACATTGATAATCTCAGACAGCAGTTTCAATTTTGCTATTTACATAGCAGTAAGTGGTAAACTACGTTAAGACTATGTTTTTGTTACAAAATGTCATTTTGCGAGAGTAAAATAAACTGTTCTATCTACTTTTACTTGAGGATTGAAAAGGAGATGAGCGTGTTGTCCGATGAGCTAGTTGTGCTTCCTTCCTTTCTTTCATTCTTTCGTTATTCAGTTGCCGCCATAAGTAAGAATCATTATCTGACATAAATGTTTTTGTTATCTCAAGAGAAGTTTTCGTAAATAGTACTTTTGAAGCAATTTTGAGTTAAATCAAGGGAATTTTCTTAAATTTCACAACCAGTTGTCTTTCAAGTACAAGTACTCACATGGCAAGTGGAGGCGGCTTTCTCTCTGCTTACGGAATTGAAAGTTAAATTTAATTTCTACGATTCCAAGGAGAATATTTCTCTCGATTTTTCTTAGAATAGTGCAAATCCTATTTTTATTCAAACATGTAAACTTTTAAATAAATCCAATCTTCGAAAATTGCAAATGCCTAACTACTGAGCTTCTTTTGCTGAATATAGCAGATGAAGTAAAAGATACAGTAGGAAGGATACGTTTATCAATATTATAATTAGAGTCCATAAGTTTGGCAAAATCTATTTTTGTTATTGTAACAATTTGATGGATTTTAATAATAATAATATTTATTTTTTCTGCTAATGAGCTTTCGCTCGGTGGCAGAGTTTTACAGCACATATACAGAGATATTACATGTAAATATTACATTGTAAAAGAGATATTAACAATAAGAATCACTTAATTGTACTTCAGAAGTTATTTTAGTAGATTTTCGTTTTGCCTTTATTGCCTATTTTCGCTTCTGATGCATATTTTTGCATTTTTTTTCTTATTTGTACTCTTTTCGGCCTTTTGCATAATTATTTTGCATTTTTCTCTTGGCACCGATCTTAATCGAGCTGGATACATATTTGCAACCCTGAACAGAACGAGTTCGGTCCGGTTTTTGTGTTTCTGAGAAAGCAGAGGATGCGTTAAATGCGTAAATGAAAAGGTAAGATGACACATGTAATGATTTTTTATATTATGTATTGATGCCGAATTTTTTACTTTTGTTGCCAGCGTTGATGCCAGGCTTTGTTCTCTCACGACAAATCCAATACTACTTTTGAGATTGGCCTCTTGATTGAGAAATCTATTTTGAGGATTTCTTTCTGTACATGACAACCTCAATGCAGGCGTTTACACAAGTTCGAAATGTGAATAAGATCATTCCATTTTCACTTATGTCGTTTCAAGATTCCAAAGGAAGTTCACAACAGCATTTGGAAGAGACATCATCACGATAAAATAAATTCGTAGCAATCTCACCGGTAGGGTTTTATGGAATCACGATTACAAGGAAAATATGTTTCCTTTTATGTTACGTGCTAATATACATTTTCGAGTTAGAAAACAAATGTGAATTATATTAATTATTTTTTTATAAGAATTCCTTTCAAATGTGATTTTCATAGTTAATATACCTTCTTGCACCTCCACTTTAGCTAAAATAATTTACTTCTTGCATGTCTATTTTAGTAAAAATAAATGGCTTTTTGCCTCTCAATTTTAGGTGAAACAAATGTAGGAACTTCCGAGCTCTAATTAATTATATTACGTATCAGTAAAAAATAATACGAGAAAGTATGTATTGTTCTAACAGTCCTAGTTTACATTATTTTCAAACGCAAGGCAAAGTGTGAATTAAAACTTGTGTGGTTATCTCGCCTACGTTTCAGAACGTCAATTAAAAAATCATAATTTGTAGATATCCTCAATATTAGAAGAATATCTCTTCACATATTCCGTGCATTGTTCAAAAGAATATCTTTGAAGACGCGTCCCTTAATACATTGGGTTTTGCTCGTTGGCTGCCTTTGTGCAAGAGTACATTCACTTAGGCGCAGCGAGTGCACTGGGGCAAATGTATAAAATGGAGGCCAGCGGGAGGAGAGCGTGGCGGAGCTGCTCGAGGGCGACGGGGAGGGTGGGGCTTGCGGTAATGTATGAGCGCTGCGGGGAGCTATGGAACACTGTATAAGGCACAGCAGAGTTACGTGGGGGCTGCAGGCCGCAAAGCTCTTGTAGGCTTCGTCGCCGGGGCTCTTAGTTCTGGTGGAGTGGAGTTTAATATATGGGTTTTGCGGCTGGAGGGGCTAAAGTTAGAGTATACACGATATTAAATTGGTTTCGGTCAAGGTATCGCCATTTTGAGTAGGTAGAAATCACATTTTAATGATTACAAATATTTTTACTTGGAGTAAAAAAATACCTTTACTATCGTCTGTTTTTGGGGTGTGCTTTAAACTATCACTAATCGGCGGTGTTCTATTAGAATATTATCTTGTGCTACGCTCTACAGAATTTGAACAGGGAAATTTAAAGAGGGGCAGAAAATGAGCGTAATATTTCACGTGACGTATTTTCTTAGATGTTTATTATTGAAATATAATAGTAATGAACAAAAATGTTCTCTTTATCAGAAAATTTCCAGAACAAATGACGTAAAATTTAGAAAATTGCAATTACGAAGTAATAATTGTATCCCCTAACAAAGTAGTCCACTTGCTATGTATATTACAAAGAAAATATAACCAAGAAGAAGTCATTTTTAACGTACTTGATACCGAAAAGACTTCTTTATGGTAAGTGACTGAATAGAAACAAAATTTCTCTCTTGAAACAAGGTAGTATCACAGAAAATATTTATTTTTGCTAGAAATATGACACACATATCATTAGTGAAAGAGTGCCTATCATTACAGTCGTAAAAGGGAAACCTCTTTTTATCTTTCATCAGCCGGCGAAACGACGGTATATCTTTCAATGGTTAGTTCGTGTAGAGCCTATTATCACGAAAATTTCAGGTACGAAGTTTGTGACACTTTCTGTGTTTTTTCGTGCACCGGCAAAAGAAATTGTAATCAACCACGTTATTTTGTTTTTCTACGAATATTGTGATTATCTAAAGTCTTCGAAATGCTTTTCTTTGACTTAGTAAGAATAAGTAGATTCTAGTGACAAATACAGCCAGTCAATACCAAATCTTGAAATTTTGGACATATATGTATTTTCATTGACTTGTTTTTTCGCGTATAGGTGAACTCGGATCATGCATGCATCCTGCTTCGGAAGGTGGAAGTACCATTATCTAGGAAAGATCAGCATTTTTAGCTGAATCCCGATTTATAGGTTGTTAATCCTGATAGTATGGACGATGATATGATGATTATGATGATGACGATAGTGAGTTATAGAAGGACGACGCGCACATATAGACGTACACAAATACATCCATGCTCGAGGTGAGACTCGAACCTGCGGTCTTCTGGTCCTAGACCTCTACGGCACTACTGCCCTATCTCGGCCATCTTGACCGGCGTACTTCCGTTGATGATGAATGTGAATTTTAGCGTGAACATTTCCTTGACTAATTTCTTTTTTAAAACTAGTGGAGCAACAAAATGGCACAGACTTTTACAAAACAGTTTACTATTCTCTGGGTCCCGGGATAGCTTTCCGGTTTCCCCCCTTTCCAGCTGCCATCTACCAGAGCCCTCAAGAACCACCAAAGCACTTTGCGGTGCTTACCGCTCACCTGGGAACAATTCTCAGTGAAGAGGTATCTTGCAAATATTACTCCGAAGTAGCCCTGAAGCAGCTCGGGCCTGAAGTGATTCATCTACGCATATGGTAGTCTGCAGCCGCATGTCAGTGCTTGTACCATTGTTCTGTGTGTTAGAATTCAATTGCTCAATTGCACTCACTGGCAGATTGTCCAGAAATCTCACAACATTTACCGATCTAGGCGAGAGTTGACGGAAAGATTAGAGCATTGATATAATAGACGCGAGTCTGGCAATTAACGGAAGCCAAAAACAAAAGCGAAAACATGCACGCCTCACGCGCGTTTCAAAACCTTAAAGGTCGAGTGCTAGAGAACTCGTTCTTGAAGCCCTAGACACCGGGAGGGGTGGGTAAGTGCATGCCCGGTCACAGTCACTAATGTTACTTCAGTGCCTCTGATCGGGAAGTCCTCGAGTCCCGACAGGGGCAAGATTTTCGACACTAGCTTGTCAGCATGTCGAAATTAGTAACTGTCTGTGGGGGAATTCTAGAGACCGGCTGTTCCGATTGGTAGTTTTCCGTGGTTTCTCCGATCAACATCACGTGGATGCAGGAGCAGTACCTTAAAATAACGGCCCAAAGTCCAGTCTTCCTTCTTTCCTTCCTCTTTCTTGTCCTATCTTCACCTCTTACACGCACATATACATGCACTACACTACGACACATGCCGGAAGATCCGTCGGGCGCTTAAAGTGTGTCTCGGCAGATTCGGATTTCCGTTGGCGGGAGATACCTGGTTGAGGGAAGCCCCGCTAGCTGACGGTAGGTCGGCGACGAATTTCGCAACCCAGCGGAGGAAGGTCACCACCACCACCACATCCCGCAAAACATGAACTAGAATTACGGGACTAATGACCTGAGTAGTTGACGCGCTAACAGCCAACCAACCCGAAGCCCTAGACCCAGGAGAACGACTAAGTAGACCTTGCTGCCAACACAAAGGTGACTATAATTGAACTTTAATGTGCTTTAGAACATTGAAAGTATGTATCGTGATTTTGACAGTGATTTTGATATATAGCGTCCTCAATTCAAATAATGCATATCTTGAGCATTAAAATTTATACAGCATCGCACATATTAATTAAATGTTTTCTCAAAATTAAATAACTTTACAGAAAATGTAGAATAAACTATTTAGAGAACATATCAATTAACACAATGGTTTGGTTTTCTAAAGTTTAGACTTGTATTTTATCGAAAAACATGTTAATTTTTTTACAATTTATCAATTTTTTATTCCTTAATAGGTTAATGAAAATGGGAGTTTGAAAATATTATTGAAGAGCAAAACCACTTCTATTATGGAAATTTTAGGTAGCCTTCTTTGAGAAAGTTTTGTTTGGTCGTTTCTAAAAATGCACAGTATTGAGCAAATATAAACACAAAAACTTTCGTGAATTTGAGAAACATCATAAGAGACACTGTGAAGAATTTTGTACATGTACTAAATTATAAAATACTCAAGATAATTATTATCGGATATAGATGTATTAAAACATTATCTATTTTGTTGTGTCTAGACGAGTTTACAAAAAATATATAAGGGGAAATGGAAATAAATTTCTGTACTGCGAACGCTGTCCAATTTTTTAATCAAAAAACTTACGTCCCTGCTGACTCTCCGGGAGTGGCGCACCAACCTCCTACTCTCCCCTGACCTCGAGTGCAAATGATTTAAAAAAAGAAGAGATTGGACCTGTTATGTCTCTGCCGGAGTTTATCAGTAAATCACTACAGCTTACAAAATTTAAGATTATTATATGGATATCGGAGCTGTGGAAACTTATTCGATAGTGGAAATTGTGCAAACGACAAGAATTCCTCAACAAAATGCATATATATTCAAAATACAAATACAAAAAAAACATGAAAATCTGATATCCTAAAAATGAAAAAAAAATGCAAAAACACAAATGAACTCATCAAATTCATAAGTACAAATTCAGTTACAATAGATCTTTTCTTAATTTTGTATAATTATATATGAATATATGAGTATCGCATTTTATGTAGTTATTTTAGTGTGGTTGTTTATTAATGGTTTTAATTGGATTAGTTTGACTCTTGCTTGTTGGGTTTTAATGTTTACGTGTTCTTTCCAGTTAAGTTTTGTGTCTAAATGCAGTTCTAGATATTTCACTGTTTTGTTTAGCAGAGTCCGAGGGATGGTATTATTGTTCCGTGGTGGTGTTGAAATTATTTTTAATGAAAAGATTTTTGCTGTTGACTTAGCTGGATTTAATTTAATTTTCCATTTGTTTGTAACAAGATTCTATTTGGTTTAGATGTTGTTGCATTGTCTTTATTAATGTAATAAATTATGTGTTAGAACTATACAATATGCGACTTGTGTTGTATTGATTGGGTTTGGATGTGTTAAGATTAAATAATATAGGTGACAGTGGGGGGCCCTCAGAAAGACCAGCCAATATTGGTTTGTGGTTTGAAGATGTTTATCTATTAAAACTGAAAAAAATTCTACTGCTTAAGAAGCTATTGACGATGTCGGTTAGATAATTGGGTGTGCCAAAGATTGCAAATTTGTATATGAGACCTTGATGCCATACTCTGTCATACGCGTGTGAAATGTGTAGAAATGTTGATATAGAATTAAGATTTATTTGGAATGTTGTATGGATATGTTCTGTGATCCATAATAATTGGTGTGTGGTTAAACATTTTTCTGTGAATCCAAATTGATGTCTGGGAATGATGTCATTTTTGTTGAAGTAATTATTGAGTCTTTTCTGAATAATTTTCTCTAGAATTTTAGATAAGGATGGTAACAGGCTTATTGGTCTAAAATTTTCTACATTGGATGGATGTTTGTTTGGTTTTGGTATGAGTATGACTGTAGAGTGTTTCCATAAAAGTAGGAAAAAACCTGTTCTTAATGAAGAGTTATAAATATTGTATAAGAATGCTATGACTTGGTTTGGCAGATTTTTTAGGATTTTGTTATTTATTCTGTCATGTTCTGGAGCTTTTTTAGGACGTGTTTTCATTATAATTGTTACTTTTCGGGGGATATAAATCTGATTCTGGAAGATACATTATAATTAGGAGATGTTGCTATCTGTGTGATTGTATGGTTTTGTGAGTCGTTGGATTTAAATGTATCTGCAAACTGTTTTGCTAGTTTTTCAGCTTTTTTCGAACGAAGATAATTGTTTCCCTGTGCTGGCATTAAGTGGAGGAATATTATTTCTATTGTTCAGTATTTTATTTTTAAATTGTGATATTGTATTGTTTCTTGAGCTTAACTTTCGAATCATGGTATTGTATTGTTGCTGTTTGTGTGTGAAAAAGTTGTTTTTGGAAAATTATGTTAAAATGTTAAGTTTCTATTTAACTTCAGGACTTCTAGTGTGATTCTATAACATCCTTGTTTTATTCTTGGATTAGATTTCTTATGCTTTTGGGTAGATAATTTTTTTATTTGGTGTGTTTTAGGTGATCTGTTTAATTTTCTGTTCTCTAGTTCACTTAATATTATGTTGTTGAGTATAGTTATTGCTTGATCTATGGAGG